ACATCGGCTAGGCTGGAAGCTGATTGGGCACAGGAAGTGCTGCAGTGATCATCGATGCATCCTCCGATCGCGGGGCCGGGGGAAGATGGCTGCTCTGTTCGGCTGCTTTAGCCGTGCTCAGTTTGGCTGCTTTTGCCTTGCTTTAAACGGGTTGTGCTCGCCCGCTCTCGCCATCAACCCGGTAACAGACCCCCGTCGCAACGGAGTGCGAAAAAGAAGCCCTGTCCGAGTGAAGCCATTCTGTTTGCAATACGATAAGGATTGCTGGACTATTATTCCTGTGATTGGAAATTGAAAAATTTCTCCATATATCTTTATACATATTCGTTTCGTTTTTGTATCTGAGGATACTTTAAACTGCAAGGAGACCAGAGAAACGACCCACGGAGCGGAGCGCAGTTATGTTTATCCTGGTCTAGCGAAGCCAAAGGCGAAGCGCACTTGCAGTTTTCAAACAACATTGTTTAAACCACAGTTTTAGCTTGTTGCGATTTTACAACAGATTCCGATTTTCATGTGGTTCGATGCTGTTTTTCGCATCACGATTTCCAGCATGATGCTTCGGTTGATCTTGTGCGATTTTGAATCATGTCATCCGGCGGTGTGTTCAAGGCTGAGATTGCCGGAAATTTTTCAACCACCCACCCGCCCGACATAGTTTCAATACGGTTTTTGAGAGACTGGGGAAGATGGCTGCTCTGTTCGGCTGCTTTAGCCGTGCTCAGTTTGGCTGCTTTTGCCTTGCTTTAAACGGGTTGTGCTCGCCCGCTCTCGCCATCAACCCGGTAACAGACCCCCGTCGCAACGGAGTGCGAAAAAGAAGCCCTGTCCGAGTGAAGCCATTCTGTTTGCAATACGATAAGGATTGCTGGACTATTATTCCTGTGATTGGAAATTGAAAAATTTCTCCATATATCTTTATACATATTCGTTTCGTTTTTGTATCTGAGGATACTTTAAACTGCAAGGAGACCAGAGAAACTTTCCTTTAATTGAACCTGCACTGACCGCCAGGCTATGCACTGTTTCGATTGAAGCGCTGCTTGACATTCTCGGGTGGCGATACAGTCGTGTTCGCTAGCCAGTTCAACTTGTTGGGAGTCCAGCTCTCTCTTGACTCCCTTCATCTTGGCAGCATCGCCCTGGAAAACAAGCCATCAAGAGTTGCAAAGCTTCTGCTAGTCGCGCAGCAGCGAACTCTCGCGAGCGGAGGCCATGTCTTTACAGGGACAGCTCAACTTCATGGTGGGCTTTGCGTCAGGCAGGTCACTCAAGCTTGTTTGCCGAGCACTTTCGAACCTCGTCTACTCCAACCGAGCCTGGACGCGAGACGAGGTCAAGCAACTGGGAGGTTACCTTAAGTGTTGTCTCGAGGCTCTTACGCCAAAGTCGATGTGCTTGAAAGGGGGCTCACGGCCCCTTGTGATTTTCACTGATGCCGCCTATGAGCAAGGGGTTGCTACTTGGGGTTTAGTGGTTCTTGATCCCGATTCGGGTAGGCGCGAAGTTGCTGGTGGTCGAATCCCCTCTTCTTTGATCGAGCTGTGGCACCAAGACACAGAGGATCAGATTATCGCTCAGGCCGAAGCGTTTGCAATGGTGATTGCAAGGGATTATGCAGCAACCTTCGCAAAGGGCCGTAGGACTTTCTTCTTCGTTGATAACGAGTCCGCACGATATTGCATGATCCGCGGTAGCAGTCCCGTGAGAGCGCTGCTGGCGCTGGCTCACGCGTTTTATGCAAGCGAGTGCAGAGACCAACTTGTCACTTGGATAGAGCGCGTGCCATCGGCCTCTAACGTCGCAGACCTCCCCAGTCGTGGCGAGTGTGCAGCTGCAGCCAAGATGGTAGGAGGGCGTGTCATCAACATTGACAGCATTGTGAAAATCGCTGCTCAGCGGTGCTCGGATGTCAGCGCTCTGCCTTGGAGCCTCCTGGCGTGCCAAGCTTCGGACGTCTGCAAGGGGGCAAACGGGTCCTGTGGTGCCCTTGAGCTGTGTCTCGTTGTGCGAGGGCGTTGCTACCACGGACGTTGGCGGTTTGCATGCTTTTGGATCACCCCTGTTCCGTTGCTCGCGCAAAAAGAAGACAGTCCGAGTGTTTGCACAACTCTGTGATTGATGTACATATTCTTGCGAATAAGTTTGAAGATCTTTATAGATTGCAAATTTTGCTCGTCTCACATATTGCGAATATACTGCGGGACATATTCCGCATGCGTTTTCCCTTTACATATATAAATATGCAGTTTTGTAAATCACGAAGACGACTATTTCACGAATGTGATCATGTTGTCTTTGATTTATAGTCGCTAACACAGCGACGCAAAACTGCCAAAGAACTTTTGTGTTCTCACGTCGAACATTTTACATGTTGTGAGACACTGACATTTCTTTCCTCACGTTGAGCTTTCATGCTGTGCGAGTTGGCGATTTCGTGGAGCGACTTGGATTCGCTTTGAAAAGTAGTCGGACGCCCTTTTAAGTATGTGGACTACTTTTCAATTTTGATGGAAGTTTGACTGAAAGACTACATGTCTTTCCGATTCTTTCCGCTCGAGCATCTGTCGGTGCATCTAACTTCTGATGATTTGTTCGCGCCGGCAGTTGTGGCTCCGAAGACAGCTGCAACAGAGAAACGATTTTCCCGCCCACCCACCCGGGGGGGCAAACGGGTCCCGTGGTGCCCTTGAGCTGTGTCTCGTTGTGCGAGGGCGTTGCTACCACGGACGTTGGCGGTTTGCATGCTTTTGGATCACCCCTGTTCCGTTGCTCGCGCAAGAAGAAGACAGTCCGAGTGTTTGCACAACTCTGTGATTGATGTACATATTCTTGCGAATAAGTTTGAAGATCTTTATAGATTGCAAATTTTGCTCGTCTCACATATTGCGAATATACTGCGGGACATATTCCGCATGCGTTTTCCCTTTACATATATATGCAGTTTTGTAAATCACGAAAACATTTTCTTCTGGGTTGGATGGCTGGGCCGCGGCAAAGGGCCTGGGCTCCCACTGGGCTCCCTTCATGTTTCCTCGAGTGGCCCCCACACACAAAACCTTTTGGTCACGGCATTCTCGTGCGGATGTCATCACTCCAACACGTTCCAACTTGAACCTGCAAGAAGGAGCATACTCGGTGCAACTACGAGTGCCCACCAAATCTTTTGGTCACGGCGTTTTTTCTTTCAAAAAAGAACTCTTCTTTCTCGCGCGGATTATCTCTACCCATTCTTTTTGTGCACAAAAATAGTCCATATGTCTAAACATTTGTTTCGCAGCGTCTGCTTGCGAAGCCAGATTGGGTTTCAACACGTTCCAACTTGAACCTGCAAGAAGGAGCATACTCGGTGCAACTATGAGTGCCCACCGCAAACAAAACTTTTTGGTCACGGCGTTCTTTTTCAAAAAAAGATTCCTTCTCGTGTGGATGTCATCATTACCCGTTCTTCTTTTGCACAAAATAGTCCACATGTCTAAACATTTGTTTCGCAGCGTCTGCTTACGAAGCCAGATTGATTTCAACACGTTCCAACTTGAACCTGCAAGAAGGAGCATGGCGTTCTTTTTCCAAAAAAAGAACGCTTCCTTCTCGTGCGAATGTCATCACTACCCATTCTTCTTTTGCACAAAAATAGTCCATATGTCTACGCATTTTTTCGCAGCGTCGTTTGTGAAGCCAGATTGGGTTCCAACACGTTCCAACTTGAACCTGCATGATTCGATGCATTCTGTTGGGGTCTACGCTGGTGTAATGTAAATCACTAAGACGGGGAAATAGGACGCACCTGCACGGACAGTGGACGAGGCATTATTTGGATGTCAAAATTTTGGTTTGTGAAACAATACCAAAATATAGGTTGTAAGTTTCACATTTGTTTTAAATGCAAACATGTCGGTTACATGTACGACTGATCAGTTGTCAAAGCTTGAATGGCCGTTGAGTTGGCTCCACAGGGTGCGGTGGGAGGGTAAAGGAAAAATCCGCCAGTGCCGAAATAAAACTTTTGTTCCCGCCCAGCCAGCCCTGTTTTATCTTTGATTTGCACAAGTGGTGCCGCATAAGTCGCTTATGAAACCGTGCCGGTGGCGCTTTGGTTTTGGTTCTCACCCATTGTGTACAAACCTGCGAGGAGCCCTAGGCGATGGCCATCCGACTCATTGGCATATGCACGGCATCACTTTCGGGCCTCATTGTTTTCACCGAAGGCGCTACAACTGGAAAGCTGTGCATTTGAAAGGATTGGCAAACAAGGATGACAAGCAACGCGCGCTCCAGCAACGACAGCAAAAAAAGCCCCAGCAACGACAGCAACAAAAACTGGAGCCCAGACTGGAGCCCCGGCAACGACGACAAAAAGCAAAGCCCCCCCCGCAACGGCAGCAAAAAAGCAGCGACAACAAACAACAACCACTCTTACTAGGTATAACATTGGGGTTACTTAGTATTCCGAATTCTGCGGAATAATTTCGAACGCCAGTCAAAGGTTTCTTCTAACGAAGGCCCATCCATGCGGTACAGCAGCACTTACCTTCGGAGGAGTGTAGCAAATTGCTTGAGCAAGATGCTCTTGTAATTCCGATGGATTAAAATCGCAAAGTACTTTTCAGTCCCCGCATGGGAATGTGAGCAACTGTGTTGATGCCCGCCTTGTCTGCGACGTGGTAGCAAACTTACCTTCCAAAGCTGCTTGCTCTCATGTTTTGAAGATCGACCGGTTGTTGCGGCCCCAGCTATCAAAGTGCATGTGCGGAAAGCTGATGTGTCCGGAAACACCCACCCAGGACGCATGCAACTTTCCTGCCTTGGACTCTCGCTCGCCACAGGAGCTGTGCCTCGCTAGATTTCAGAATGAACTTGACTTCAAGGGCATCGGCTTCACACGCTTCGAAAAACCAATATCACATCGCAGAACCGTCCACCTTGAGGCCTTTCTGGTGGACATTGCCGCTGCTTGGAGCATCTACTATGTGGGCACCCATAGCAAACAAGATGCTAGCATGGAGTACGAGTCGGTGCGAGCCTTGGGGCTTCCTAGCCTTGCGATTACACGACGATGTGACGATGTCGACAGGTGACGTCTGACATCTTGACTTGCTGCATCGTCCGAGTGTTGGCCGGGGGTTCCACGACGCTGAAAATTGGCGCCGTGTTCTGCCTCTCGTCAGGTGTTTCCTTTGATGGCCGGGATGGCTGGCCGGGTCTACAGAAGCACGGAGGCGCATGGGATGCTTCTGCGTTCGAATGAGTGTAGCAAGCGAAGGCTAGCTCGCCATTTCGGCAGGCCCGGCACAGGCATGAGAGCAAGTCGGATTCAGTGTCCTGAGCATTTCGGTCAAGGAGTCTGCACGAGAAGTTGCCAGAAACGGGACAAGAGGTGACTTGCGAGTGCCTTTGGCAGAGGCTGGACTTTCCAGAGCTTGTTGTCCTGTCATGAAGCATAGAACTTCGAGGGCGCTTTGATCGTTCCCCGTCTCTGCTGGATCTTTGTGTGGGCCGGATGTTGTGAAGGTTGCAAGGCGAAACGCAATGGTGTTTCAACCATGCACAGGAGAAGAGTGCTTTCGAAATGAAGTGCGGCCATGCGCTGCTGATGAAGCGGGCGCATCGCAGGAAGGAGATCATAATGCTTGTGCTTTTCGCAATCGGCACAGGCGCCTGCTTCGGTGCTGGTTCATCAGCTCTCGTAGCTTGCAGTCTCTGGGGCCGTGCCAAGCTCTTGCTTGCCCTAGATAGTTACCTTAGTTGCAAAGCCAATGTCTGGCGACAAGGATTGGAGTTGGAAGGTAGGTTGTGTTTCGTGATGCCCGGTGTCACCTGTCTATTCCCCGAGCTCCAGTTCTGGGCTGATATTGGACAATTGAGAGCAATGAACATGGTACTCGCCAGGAGGACTTCCTTTTGCCTTGTGTCATGCCGCCCAAAGCTCAAGCGCGACAGGCATGTCAATCTACAGCGGTATCAAGTGCGTCGTGTACCACTACGACGCGCGGTTCTTGGCCTTAGAGGGCACGCTGCAAGCTTCGATTCTGGCGATGATCAACGTAGCTCCGTGGCAGCAGCTGCAGCTAAGCGTTGCTTTCCGCGCAAACACGCTAATCAAGGAAGGAACGCAGGCGTCGCTTTTGGACTCTGATCACTGGTACCGGTTACGTGCAATCTGGCACTCTTCAGCCGACACAACTGCAGAAAGCAGCTGCAAATCAGAGTTGGCCTGGACATGTAGGTTTGTCTAGAAAAACCAAGGAGTACTTCATGCTGAAAAAGCTGCTGAACAAATTCACCGAGGAGCAAGGGGAGTCCGCACCCAAGCGATCTGGGATCGGCTCTGACAGCCGCCTACAACATCAGCTTGTGTCCAGGCTCATCCCGCATGTCCACATGCACCAGCTCTTTTTTGAGATGGGTCTGAAGTTCCACAACTGTGAAGTGTGCCGTCACCAGATGAAGGCAAGAGGGAGTTTTAGCAGCAGTGCGACCAAACGCAGTCGTCGTCACTTTCCATGTGCTGGAAGGGTCCCCATTACGTCGCATACAGATGCAGAACGTGCGACTTCAACCTCTGTCCAAGGTGTTACAAGCAGAAGCATTCCTGCAAATTAGCATTCAACCGTCCAGCTCATTTCTTAAGTTGATTTTTAGCTCTGGCCATGAGGAAAGACAAGCACCACGCCAAGGGATTTGGTGCACGTGGCCCAGATGGAGAGCAAATCACGACATGGACATACTTCAAGCGAATACTGTCGCTTGCCTCTGGACTGACTACTCTTGTTGAGCCACTAGCAGTGACCAGCACCTGTCGATGTGCAGAAAGGCAGCTCTCCCGGGAATTGTGGCCTATGATGGTGGCAGCTGTCACTTGCTTGCTCATCACGCAGGCATTGCAAATCTTTGCTCCAGATGTGCAAGGGTCGATCTTCGATGGCATCCTCGCATACCTGAAGAACCCCGAGGGCGGAAGATCAAAGTTTGAGTATGCCATGCTCACCTATGTTATCATAAATTTTTTGCAGGGGTGCTTCAGCGGCTTCAGAGCTCTTGCGCAAGAATTGGTGCAGCGACGCATGGCCTGTTCTGTCCGCTCGAAGCTCTTTGCAAGCGTGGTCCGCATGGATATCGCATTCTTCGATACCATGCACACTGGTCAGTTGATATCGCGCCTGACAAATGATGTCAGCGACCTGGACGAGCGGTTCAGTGATGGGTTGGGTTGTCTTTCTCAATTGCTGCTGGTCTGTGGCAGTTTAAACAAGCCGTCGTTCTATTTCCCTTTTTCTTCTGTTTTTGACAATCCTGCTGTGAAACAGTGACTGTTGTGACGCAGCAAAAATCGGTGGGAACACGATGGCAATACCACTTGGAGAGGCTTGCCCTCATGAGACATCTCCGAAGCCCCCCGAAGCCTGCAGTCCCTGAATTGGCTGACGAAGAAGCATTGCAAACTGCAGCTACGTGACTTTTCAATTTGTTAGTCCTTGCGTCATGAAGAATATTGGTACTTCTTGCTTGTCGCTTGTCTTTTCTTAGTTTAAGATGCCTCCGGAATTATCGTGGGCGAAAGCTGCGCCAAGGTCAGATGACGCAGCCGCTTGGCAGCAGATTCGGCTTGCGACTTTGGGAGTCTCTCCCGCCGTGTCCGTTTGCTCTCCGTCTGCTCCTTTCAGCGTCTCAGCTGCTCACAGGCCGCTCAGCACGTTGATGAATGATCTGCTGGCCAACCTTCTCTTGCTGGTGCCACAGCTGATGTCCGGAACAGATGTCCGAGACACAGAGCTGAAGTTTGCATGATACCTGAGGTGGGCAGCATGTTCATGGCTTTTCACACTTCTTGGAAGCTGTCGGTCCTTGCACTTACCATTGTGCCTCCGATCTCTTACAGCTACCGTGCATATGCCACGTGGGCCAGGAACATCACAATGTCCATGTACTGCGCGTATGGTGAGGCAAACAGCACTGCAACGGATGCCATTAGCAACATCCGTACAGTGCGTGGTTTTGCAGCCGAAGAGCAGGAGACTCTCAGATACTTAGACAGCATCAACACAGCCTTAGGTCAAGGTGTGAGGAATGCTTACGTTGGAGCTTTGGTGACTGCCTTCTCAACGTATCTCAATTTGGGCACGGCGGTGCTTATTTTGTGGTATGGTGGCCAGCTGGTTTGTGACGGGAAAGGGGAAGTGACGAGTGTCGGCTCTCTCATCACGTTCCAGCTTTATTGGAACATGATGAACGGTGCTTTCCTTGCTCTCGGGAACGTCCTGAACCAGTTGATCCGTTCCTCGTCGGCTGCGGAACGGGTCTTTTCCTTGATGGAGGCCAGCCGCCCCGATGGCCCTAACGATGGCCCTCCAAGGAGGGCGGTGATGGAGGTCACGCGCGAGTCGGTGCAAGGCCACTTGCAGCTTCGTGACATCTACTTTCATTACAGGTCTCGTCCCGCGACTTTGGTGCTGCAAGGAGTTCACATAGACATGCCCCCTGGGACCACCACCGCTCTTGTGGGCAAGAGCGGAGGTGGAAAGAGTACTTTGATTCATCTCCTCATGAGATTCTACGACCCAACTGCTGGGGAAATTTTCCTGGATGGCCGGAGTATGACGACCCTGTCCTCCAGGAGTGTTCGTCGATGTTGCGGTTTCGTTGCGCAGGAGACACAGCTTTTCTCTTGCACCATAGTTGAAAACCTTGCCTACGGAATAGGCAGAGACTACACTCTTGATGAAGTAGTTGAAGCTTGCCGAGCAGCCAACGCGCATGAGTTCATTCTGGAGATGGAAGAAGGTTATGACACGCAAGTCGGCGAGAAAGGCGTCATGCTGTCTGGTGGACAGAGGCAGCGTTTGGCGATTGCACGGTGCTTCCTTCGCAAGCCGCGGATGTTATTCTTGGATGAAGCAACATCAGCTCTTGATGCAGAGAACGAGGCAATTGTGCAGTGTGCGCTCGAGTCTTTGCTGTCTGAGCTGAAGAGCACAGTTGTGCTGATTGCTCACCGACTGAGCACTGTTATCAATGCAACATCGATCTGTGTCGTACAGAAAGGAAGGATTGTGGAGCATGGCAATCACGAAGACCTCGTTGCGGCCGGCGGATTCTATGCCCAGCTTGTCAGTCGCCAGCTTTCCCGTAATGCAAGTGCTGTGATGGATTCCAAGGAGGAGAAAACAGAGAATCTTGACAGCCACGTCATCCATATGCAATCGAGGCGACAGGTTTGTGTTGCGGCTCCTCAGTCGCCGCAAATGTTTGCACACGATGTTTTCGCCTAGGAAGGCGAAGGAGATCGATGCCGTAAGCTCAGGTCCTTTAGAGTCATCAAGTCTGTCATCGCCAGCTCGTTATTACGCATGCTTCAGGAATTGATCGAGGAGATGGAGCAAGCAGGTGAGACAGGCAGGGTATAAGGTGCCTGCGTTGCAGAACGGGCACAGGCACCTTTTGAACAAAATTTCAGCGCTTGCAGGCACAGCAGGTTGGGAGAGGAGTGAAGGGCGTTGAGGCCTGCTTGCGGGAGCGGTTGGTATCTAGGCCAAGCCGTTGGACCTGAGTTGGCAAGGCGAGCTTGGTGCAGGATTTCGCTTCACGTCTGAGCTGTTGTCACCCAAATATGTCTGAGTTAAAATCACTATTGGTCGCTGGTTGCATTGCATGCAGAGGCGTAATTTTTCATTTTCCGACAGCTGTAGCCTCCGCAGGATGTGTCTTGGCACCACCATTAGCCCGGGTCAGCCCTGACGTCATTCAGACGTAGACTCGACCAGTGCTGCAGCGTGCTGCTGGTACAGATCAAGTGGCGAGCAGTCCCGCCCCAGGATAGCTGGATTCGCGCACAACTTGAGAAACAAAGATGTGGTTGCTGTTTCGCGAGCCGCATGCCTTCGTTTTTGCAAAGGGCTGTGAACAATTTCTTTCCAAAATTGTTTGACGCGTACAAGTGTGCCATGGAAGACTCATGTAATCTTCTAGGTGCATGGAAGCAAAAGATCGTGCACGGCTCGCATCGTGCAGACAGCCACAAGCATCACGTCCGATGCATTTCAGACGCGGAAATACAATCTCCTGGGCAGCACGACAAAGGGTTTCAAGTTCCAAACTTCTTGTTCACCAAGAGCAAGCTGCGGGTGAGACGAGGACACCATTTCCGGCCTCGAAGCTCCAGGCATGATGTGGCCATGCAAACCCTTTCGCCATGCTTGCCACGGTGCATTCATCAAACCGATCAAGGATTGCCCGTAAAACATTCTCTATGATCCAGATCCCAGCAAGACCTTTCCCCTATTTCCTCTCGCCACGGCACAACAGTCAGACTTGTCATAGTCCCCCTTGGGGGGATCCCCAGTCGCCCGAGGCCGCAGCAAGAGCCGCTGGGTTTTCGGGAGCCTCCGCATTGCCAGGAACATATTGCCCCCAGCTTCCCGGGTTGGCTCCTGAGTTGGGCCGCCTCGGGAGCCCGAAGGTCGGGATCTCCCGGTTGGATCCGGAGGCAGCTTGGCCGACCGGTGGGAACGACATTGCAGCAAGAGCGAAGGATCTAGCTGAAATCCTGAATGCCTCCCACGCCGTTCTTTTCGGGCGCGGCCGATCGGCTCATGCCAAAATGGCGACGGATCAAGTCGCGGCTGTTCTTACGATCGATAAACTGATCCCCTAATTCCTCACGTACCAAGCCGACAATTAGGAGACGTAAATATTTGTTTTTACATACATACTTGGCATGACTTGACTTGCTCTGGCATGGCATGACTTGCTTGCTACAACTACTGCTGCTACGAACTTCACAAGACGCTTTGCAGACCCTTATCAAGTCGAAGTGTTCGTTCAAGTTCCTGACATCCTGAAAGTCCCACTGCACCTCCAGAACGAAATCGACGCCCGCGCAATCCAACACGAGCGACCGCGGCACGGCAGACAACATAGCGATCCAACAAACAAATGCGAGTCAATGCAGGAAGAAAGCAAATCAGCTTCTCGAGCCGTCACAAGATGTCACAAGGACATGAGGATGATCTACAGCACACCCCAGAACCCGGCTCCGCAAGAAAACAAACGAGTCTTTGACAGCACAGACGGGCAGCTCGTCCGCGCGTCGCCCGACCTTCCACAGCACCGTGGTCCGATCGGTTGCAAGATTAATAATTTGGGTAGCGTCTGGCAGCTGCCGAAACATGTATTAAGCGAATACAAATTCCAGAAGGACGCAGAAGCCAGCAGGTGTCTGATGCTGTCCCGGCGACCCCTTACGGCGAATGCCGCCTCGAATTATGCAAGAGCCCAGCTACAAGTTGCCCAGCTCAATACAAGTTGCCCAGGTCAATGTCAAAGGATGATTCCTCGTCGGATTCCTCTATGTCAAGAGGAGCATGTCCAGAGCACCTCTCGAATCGGCGTTTTCGTTCCTTTTTGCCAACGACAGGCGGAGAACCGAGACCATGCCAACACACATCCATGTAATCTTCGATGTGCACCATAGCAAAACAATAACCTTCGTAGTGGACCCACCAAGCAGCCTCACGTCCTAGCGGCAGCAAGAAGGGGAACACGATCTCCTGACCGGAGCTCGCCGTCAAGTCGAGAGAAAGCTTTCTATGCAGGAAGAGGAGCGATCGCGTCAGCCCGGGGCACCATTTTCGAGCTTCCAGTTTGAAGCCGGCTCTTCGAAAGGGATGTTCTTCGAGTGGCATGATTTCGAAACTGGACAAGAAGTCTCACACCGCTGCACCAGCTGCATGTGTGCATCATGTGCATCCAGGTTGTCCACCTCGGACCAGTCCCATATCAAGTCAAAGTCGAGAATTACGCCTGCGAAATCCAGCACCAACGACCATGGCACTCCAGAAATCATAGCGGCCTAAACCGCGCCAGCTTCCTGATGCTTCCGGGACAAATCTGCGGAACCATGGGAAGAGCAGATGAAGCAAAACGACACATGTCACACACAAGACCGCGTCTCGACCGGACGGTTTTTGCAAGCAAACATTCCAAAGTCTGTCTTTCTTCAATGCACAACACGTGGGTCTCCGTTTCTGCTAGCACCTGTACAGACGGCGAAAGCAAAACGCGCAGCCGATTTACAGCAGGCTCGCTTTCATCGAATGCCCCCTCCTCCCCTACTGCGATCTAATGCGACACGGAACGTGCTTTGCTCGGCCTTCGACACTACTGTTCTCCGACCAAGTCCGACACACCCTGGCCACTGCCATGTCAGCCGAGACAACGGAAGTCGGAACCGTCGCCCCGCCCATGTGCAGGACGGTCGAGCTTCCCACACGACCAAGGAGCGGCACAGAAAAATGACGAACTTCGGAAGATTGCGACGGCAGCACACCCTCCATGGACTCCATGGATGTCGCATTGGGAGCCGCTTCCGAAACCAAGCCAAGGGCATCACATCAAATCCACGTTTGAAGGCACTTCTTTCCATCATCCTCAGACGTTTGGCCACCTGTCGCTCGTAATCCCACTGGCACCAACAATGGGTCCCGTGTCCATTGTCATAAGTGAGAGGACACACAAAGATCAACCGACAGCATGGTTCATCCCAACAGCCCGTGAGAGCTTCCAGCGCCTCCCACACTGTCTGGTGCCCGCGCGTTCTGTTCGATAGGTCGAGCTGGATGGTGGTGATCCCCGTCATGTTCCCTGCAAGTGGCCATGTCGCGTGAAATCTGTGGATCATGTAGGGCTGCATGATGATCGGCAGGATGAGCTGAAGGGCTTCCACTAGCCTCGTGTGTTGAAGAGGGGGCCTGTCCTCGTCCACCACTAGGCTCCCCAGGGCCGGCGACCACTTCTGATAGCACCAGCTGCCGTCCTGTAGCCAGTTCATCTCCTCGGCCTTCTTCTGGAACGGCGTGGGCGTCTCCCCTCCGATGTCCGTGCAACATCTGGATTAAGCAGCCGAAGAGTGTGGTGCGAAGGGCGGTAGTCGTCGCTCCCTCCTCCTGCGACTTCTTCCACTTCTGAGCGGCAGCGAAGAGAAGTGGCAGCGGTCCTTGGTTCCCCGGTTGGACAAAGAGCACCCAGCTGTAGTCCTGTCGGAGGATTTTGAGCGCTGTCTCCTGCTGCAGCGCCAGTCTCGCCAATGCTTTGATCAGGTAGGTCAGGTTGGGGCCATCGTTGTGGCGCCCCTTGACCCCACCTTTGCGCCAGGGTGGTCTGCCTGCGGAGGCCGACTGCCACGGTCTCCCCTTGCCCTGCTCCGTTCTTTGGGCTTTGCTGCGATCTGGAGGGGCCGAGCTGGGCTCGGCTTCCCTTTTCGTCGGCGCCCAGTCCATGAGGTTCAGCTGGTCCGTTACCAAGGGGCCGAAGACTTCCTGAAGCTGCTCCACCGCAATGCTCACACGGGGATCCCGGGGTGTTGAACTTAGAGCACAGACGGCTAGCCGGCAACATGTGCAGCTCGTGATCCTCCGGGTGCGACAGCCTATAGTGTTGCTTGACTTTACTGGAGCAGGCAATCCACTGAGAGCATAGGGCGCAATACTGCTGGAGTCTTTAGCGATCTTTGAGGTGAAAGGCCGCGTTCTCAGAGTACCTGGTGAGCAGGGCTTGTACAGAGGGTCTCTGAAAGTACGGCATGCTGTCCCCTGACGCGGCCGACGCTTCCAAGCCTGTGCATGGTTCGAGTGTACCGGAGCTGGGAGGGGCTACTGTGGCGTTCGGGGTGGATTCAGAGGGTGCGGGATCGGGGCTTATGGAGGGTTGTCTGGCAGCTTGTGGCTGCTGTTGTTGGGCTGCGTCGTTCGTAGGTGCGGTGGGTGAAGTCTGTCTGACTGCGGGCTCTTCTTCAGTAGGTGGACGTGGGGTCGTAGGGTCAGGGACCTTTGTGGCTTCTGGGAGGGGCTGTATCGGGAACAGCACCCTACATCGTTGTTCATTGATGTGTTTGCGCAGGCTGGAGAAGTCGCAGAGCTTAACTCGGCAGTGACTGCAGCGCGGCAGACCCCCCAGTGCATCGGTGTGTTTATCAAACGCGCGCTTGGGCTGATTGACTGGTCTGGCTCGATGATCCTTATGACGCTTCGACATGTGTCCCAGCAGCGAAGCACGATTGGCAAAGTAGACACCGCCCGCACTCAGGACACGGGTAGTCATGCTTAGGGCGCTCAGTCACTTCGATGAGCTGAGACGTGAGGTCCATGTTGAGGGTATTCATAACTCGGTGCCCGGCCGGGCTTTCTGGACCGCGCTTGAAGGGATCTGGGTCAGAGTTAGGGTCATGGGATTCCTTGTTAAGCTGGCGCTTGAGTGCCTCCAGCGGGTGCAGGAGATTCAATGGTTCAAGAACTTTATGGTGGGATGTGCCCGTCATATAGACAGGGTCTCTGACTATGAGTCTGATCTGTCGAATGAGAGCTGTGCAGTGAGCTTCTTTGCGCCGAGCGTCGTCAGTCCACTGGCGTCGAACCCGTAGACCGTGGCAGTGTAGACACAGGCCTGCCAGATACGGAGAGTGTGGTGTCGCGTAAGGGCGTGCCGGCCGCGAAGGACGCGCGAGAGCCGTCCAAAATTACTAGAGGCCACCTCCAGTCTATGTGCAAGCGTTCTGTCTTCAAAGTGGTCATAGCTGACGACGGCGCCTAAGTAGGTAAACGAATCTACCAGAGGAATGTCGAAGCAGTCCTGTTTACTGTAGATGCGAAGGACCCTGCCCGTGGCGTTTCATGTGTTTACTCATGTGTGTTTTACTTTACGTTTTTCCCAAACACTACATTTCGGCCCAAGACACTAGCTTAGCTTTGCTCAGCTTTGCAAAATTTTGCTAATGCACATGCTCTTTTTCGCAGGCAGCACTTTGCGATTTTGTGCCTTATTTGGCGTTTGCATTTCTCATTTCATGCAGCACGACTTGATATAGCTACACAGCTTTACAACAAGAGGCTAGAGCTTCGCGAGCGGTGCATGGATTCCCAGGCCGATTCTTTGCACCAATCGGCAGAGTCTCCGCGTGACAGGTTTCTTTCCTTGGAAGCACGTGTGTCCGCTCTGGAGTCCTCCGCTTCTTTACCACGCCAGCTTTTGGACGAGTACCGCACCTATTTTGAGTCCAGTCTGTGGTCACTTTTCCAACGAGCGTCGAAGGACGCGCAAGCAGATTCTGCTGCTGTCAGGGAGGACTTCTTTGCAGCCTTGCACTCTTTACGCGAGGATACCTTGGAGGCTTTGACCACGATTCACGAGAGGGTGGATCGGATTTTACATCACGATTTGCGTGCTTTGCATACAGATATCCTTGTTCTGCAGCGGCGCGTTGGTACTTTAAAGGGCCAAGTGGAGACTACAGATGATAGCAGTGCTTTTTTGGACATGCTTGATTAAGCCATGGCTGACAGTTCTGAGGAACTTACTTTTCGTGTGAAACGTTATAAGCAGAATTCTCAGGCTGCTTTGCCGCAGGCTACGACTGAAGCTGTTCCAGTTACTGCGCCAACTTTATCGGTGAGCCCGGTTACTTCGCACTCTTCTGGAAGTGATTCATTTGTTTTGGTGGACGCAGCAGAGTTCTCTTCTTTGCAGCCACCGGCGTCGTGGGGCACAGGTGATGCAGTACTTTTACCGTTTCAGGCAGCAGCGAAGTGGAAGCCGCGGCCTCGACCGTACTTTCCACCTACAAACCGGTCTTCTGCCACGGCAACAGCGCCGAGCTTTCGTTCTCAGCCAAGGGAGCGGCCACACTTTACCACGCGCGCATCACGTGTTGTGCGCTCTTGTCAGGACGCCAGGCCGAAGCCTACTTTTCGTTCTGCACAAAAATATGCGGTTTATCCCTCAGAGACTTTACCTCCGCGAGTTGAGCAGTATGCACATGGATCTGGTGTGGAGACTTTGCTTCAGGATGTTGGCGTAGATTTTCTTGAAGGTGAGGCCGTTGCCCATCGTGGGGGAGATGGACATGCTTTCCCTCCCGAGCCGCCTCCACCTAAAAGCGGCAGCTTTTCATTGCCCAAGCAACCTGTTGTTTCCAAGGCACGCGTCACTTTGCAGTGGGAGATTCACGCCAAGTGTAGGGCCAAGGGCTTATTGCCTTGGCAGAAGCTGGTGGCATTGATCGCCCCACTGAGTGCATCTTTGCAAGAGATTTTGGAATCGACTTCTTCGCAAACTTTACTTTCACAGCTCGCGGCCTCAGTTGCAGATACCACTTTGGTGCGTTATGTGCAGAGCTGCCTGCAGTACTTTGCTTTGCTTCGTGATTGGGCCTGGACCTTTGCCATGTGTCACAGTTGCAAGCGTATGACACGATGATCCAGCTTTACAGATCCCCTGAGAATCAGGAAAAGGTGCCCAACTCGTGCTTTCCCCTGAATACGCTTAAAGCCCTCACGTGGATGGTCAAGGTGGCCTGCGTCAACTTTCCAGATCTTTACACGGGTCTCTTTCACTCGATCGCCCACCAGAAGGCCGAGGGAGACCGCCGGGAGAGCGTACCGCTCCCTCTGGATTTTGTGGCATTTCTGGAGTTTTCCTTGCTTTCTAAGTCCTTTCCGGAATTGCAGCTCGCCATCGGGGCACTCCTCGTGATGATTTGGGGGTCTTTGCGATTCAGTGATGCTTTGCACGTCAGATGGGGCACCGTTCTTTTCGAGCAGGATGTTGGGCGTGGCATTTCGTATCGTATCAAAACTTCAGTGAGGGGAGCCCCCTTTGGTGTGGTGGGCACCGGCCTGTACGGTCCGTGGTTTGCGCTCTGGCTTGCTTTACTTAAAGATGAGTGGACCCAGATCTCCGAATTGGTGGGGCCAGTGGAGCCTGATGCTTTACTTTTCCATACGGCAGCACAGGGGGAGGAAGATGCACTTTACATCCCCATGACGTACGGGGAGGCCTTGGCTACCTTAAGGCATCTTTTGGCCAAGTGGGGTCGCCTTTCCCACGAGCAGATCGCAATTTTTACGCTTCACTCGTGTAAGTCAACCTTGCTTTCCTGGGCAAACCAGTTGTTGCTTTCCGAGGATTTGCGATCAGTGCAAGGACATCACCGTCATTCGAGCGCTCGCCTTTACAGTCGTGATGATGTGTTCGGTGCTCTTTCTTTACAGAGACAGGTCCTGAAGGCACTGAAGGCAGGGTGGCGACCATTTTGCCCACAACATCGGGGGGGGCAAGTCCCCCTTACGGAGCCTGCTTTGCAAACTCGTGTGGCTGCTTTCCAGGACCCCTGTCACTCCATTCCAGCAGGAGCACCGGTGGTGAGTGGCCCAGCCGTCTTTGCTCCAGAGGCTGTGCACCCTGCGAAGGTTGCTGCATCGTCTTCGGCCGCCTCTTCTTCGGCGGCTTCTTTGCCCACGCCCGAGGCTGTGGCAGAGCTTCCCTTGGCATGCCCAGGTGATCGCAGGGATGCTGAGGAGCTACTTTTCATCATCACGGCTAAGACTGTATACAAAGCGGTGCCGGGCTCTGAGTCGGAGAAGTGCTCTACTTTCCAGGGAGTTCACCTGAAGCCGGCGTGTGATTGCATAGTCAGTGTTTTCCAGGTGGTGCACTTGCACCAACAGGCAAAAACTTTTGCCGGCACAAGGCATGCCTGGACCTTTGATCTGGTCAAAGCCTGACAATAAATGCGTTGCGGCTCGTGCTTTTGCGAGTGCGTTCCAATTTTTGCTTTACTGAGCGTGATCACATGCGTCAGCTTTCGCTTTTTCGTTTCATGAGCTTTTGCATGAGATTGCTCTTCGGGCGGAGTGCCTTCTTTGCGTCAAGCCTTCAGCTCGGGCGGTAGCACCCGAACGCGTCGACCCAAGCGTCAGGCCCCTTTGCATTGCATCTGGCATGTGAGGGCATTGCTTCCATGAGTTGCGTTAGCTTTGCGTTGCAATGTGGCGAGCACCGCCCATGAGCATCATTTGATGCAGCTTTTCTTGCCCGAGCGCGTCAGTTTACTTTACGTCCACCGCCAGCAGCGGTCATGTCGAGCAACTACTTTCCGGCTGGCTGGGAGAACGTGGACGGCTTTGCTCTGTGGGCCGAGGCGGAGTCCTGGGATGGCTACAACTACTTTGCCAGGGCAAAATGGTTTGAGTTCTGGGTGCAATCCAAGCATGCAGCATCTTCTTTACCTTCTGCCTCGGACGATGTGGACCCCAGTACTTTTCCACCCGCCGCGAGTACAGAAGAGTTTCCCGAGAAGGTGGACGGGGACCCTTCTACTTTACCTTGCTCAAGCAAGGGTGTTGAGCCGGACGTGCCAGAGCCCTGGGTTCCGCAGGAGGTGACCGATTACCTTGATCGTTGGGATCCTTTACCCTCCACGGCTCGCGAGGATCCTTTGCCTCCTGCCTTGGGCGAGGACCTCCCTGATGATGCTCCAGAGGCTTCCCAGCAGTGGATCCCGGAGATGCCCTCTTGTCTTTGGATGGTTTTTGCAAGAAGCATGCTGTGCTCATGAAGGAGATTTTGGGCATAACTACTCGGCCGACAGTAGCTGTCATGCATAAAGCAATGGGCTTGGTGTGGCCAGGGGCTCCAAGCTTGGAACTCAAGACGTTTGCGAATCATCTGCACGAAATGTACAAGTCTCTCTTCACGAAGACTCGCAACATGTCCACAGGAGGAAGGCTGGCCGACAGCGTTCAGAACATGTGCTTCTTCATCAAGGACTTGCTCGGTGTGCAGGAGAATAAGGGGAACAAGAGGGCAAGCTCAGGCTCTGCCCGGTCCTCTCCGTGCCAGACCTTTCCAAAGAAGAAGGTGAAGCAAAAGCTGGACAAGACATGCCAAAAGGCATCGACAAGGAAGCTTGAGGCTCACGTCTTTGTGTCCTCTTCAAATCCAGGTGTGGTAATTAAGGCTGAACCTGCAGAAGCTGCATCAAGCCGTCTAAATGGGCCGAGGCCTTTGCCTACAGGCCAAATCACCAAGTTATACCAGCAGGCTGCATCTCAAGCCTCCAGCTTTTTCCACACAGATTTGTCAGTGCCAACGGTGCTGCGAATCGCAGGTGGCAGCCGAAAGGCTGCCAAGATGCACAAGGGGCCTTCTGGTTTTGCCGTGGCAGTGTGGTCCGATGGGCATCAGATCGTGAGCGAGATCCCGAACCTTATGCTGGACCAAGCAGCTGCTGCCAAAGCATCTGGTGCGAAAGCATTTGCTAAAGCAGCTAGCAAAAAGAAGCCAGCTGCAGTCATTAAGAAGCCAGCCTGCCTTCCTGCTGCGCAAGATGATGGAGACGAGCCAGCTGCACGTGCAGACGAGAATGATGCTGCAGCACCCGATAAGGAAACCCCTGCCGAAGCAGCTCTGGTTGCAGCCGATGCTCCAGCTGCAGCTGAAGATCCCAATTATGGTGATCTGGAGGTTCTCCCTGCAAATGCGGTTTTGCGGAAGGAATATCGCATGGCGAACAACAGCCTGGCTTTTCGCATGATTTGGCGAAACGAGAATAACAAAGAGTGCAAAAGGCAGCTGTGGCAGCTGAAAAGCAACTCCTTCACGAGTGAACAGTTGCATGAAATAGGAGCTGAGGTCCTGCGACTAGCTCGAGCTGGAGAGTCTTTGGCCCAGGTAAAGACCTGGGCAGAGGAACAAATGTAGCAGTGTGCAGCCGGCTGTGTCGAGCTGGGTAGGGCAAGAATCGAGAAGACTCGACGATCGATCATGAGCGATAAATTTCACTTGCAGATGTTTCGTGAATGCATGCATTTTGGACCGATGCTTTTGCATTTGTTGTGCAGCATGCAACTTGAGGATCGACTCTGTGTCCCTGTAGCTGGCTCAAACCATGCATGTCCATGTGCATGCATGTGTTTAGGTTATAGGGTGCATGGCCTGAAATGTTTTCTACATAAATAAGGTATGAATATATATATATATATATATACACACATGTTTATAATATACACTATAGATTCACATATATACCATATTTTGGTTCTACATGTCGTTGCTTTCAGGGTTTAAGGGTTTAGAAGAGTAGATTCCTGTTGCCTGCCTGGCCCTCAGCTCGGTTAATGAGCCTGCTTGCAAGCTTCGAGAGTTCCATGCAGTGTTTTTGTTTTCGGGAGGCTCGCCTCCCATGTCAGTAGGTTTTTCAAGCCCCTTGCCCCCTGTGCCTGCATGCCCACAGGTCGAGACCACGGTGCTGGTGCCGCTTTACTGCGAGGACAAGGACTGATGCTCTGCTAATATTCTTCATGTTCGTGTTTGTCCGGAGATTGCAAGGGCACCAAATTTGTTGGAAGTTCTTGCCTCCGTGATTAGAATTTTGAGCTCGAGCTCTCAAGCTTTCTGTGTGCGCTGTTTGTTTTGAGTCGCCTGCCATGGCGGCTTCCAAATTCGGACCAGCAGCGGAGGTCGAGATGGTGGCCTCGGAGAGTGAAGAAGAAGTGTCGGATCCATTAGTGGATCTGGAAACCGCAGCTGCAGCTGCAGGGTCCAGGCCGGGCGGGCCGGATCTTCGTATGTGCAACCGCTGCAAGACTGTGTCTTATCTCCGAAAGGAGGATGCAGTAACCCCTCTTGCAACTTGGATTTTAAGAAATTTTAGACTCCTGTGTTCAGGGTTTATGCATCTCAGGCAGCTTGTATTACGTGCACGTCAAAGACTTGCATACCATGCTCGGGGCTCCAAGGGGAAGTCCTGGATGTCCGATCCGGAAGGATTCGAAGCCATGGTCTCGCGGATGAGGATGGCCTTCAAGGAAAAGAAGGCCCAGGAGGCGAAGGATGCCAAGAAGGCCAAGGAGGCCAAGGAGGATAAGGCCAAGGGCAAGGAAAAGAAGAAGAAGAAGAAGAAGAAGAATAAGAAGAAAAATAACAAGAAGAAGAAGAAGGACAAGAGTCTCAAGCGGCAGCAGCGAGGAATCCAGCTAGGGTACACCAACGGCACCATCCGTGCAGACGAACCTCAGCTTGAACAGTTTTTTCCTGGAGTTCTATTTGGGGACTCCATGCTATATATAAGATGGCCTCTCAACTTGAATAATTTTTTTTATGGAGTTCTATTTTGGGACTCCATGTTATAATAATAATACTAATAAGATGCCCTGGGAGCTCAGGTGCCGCCGGGGCCCAAGCCACCGCCCAAGCCTTTGCCGACGAAGAAGCCCGCAAGCAGCATACCCAAGGCCTTCCAGGATAAGACCAGGATCCGTGCGGAACAGGCGAACATGGCCCTGCAGCTCCCCGTCCGCCCAGCAGCTCCTGCACCGCCAGCGATCAACATCAACATTTTTGGGGGCGGTGCCTCCGGATCCTCAGGCCGGGGTTGTATATAGTTTCATAAAAGTATATTGGGTTGTTTTTATTTATACAAATTTTTCACTGGAGTGTTTTTGGAGCTCCAGCTTTTTTGGTTGCCCCATATACAGATGCCGTTGCTGGCTTGATGCCTTTGCTGGCGACCTTGATGCAGCAGATGGGCGGACGCCAGAGCATGCAGCCCCCGGCCCCGGCGAGCCGTGGCCCGATCATTGAGGAGATGGAGCCGGAGATCGGTGACAAGGAGGAGGAGAAGAATGATCCCCCGGGGGACGAGGACGAGATGGATGTCGAGGATGAGAAGCCCGAGGACAAGGATAAGAGTCTTAAAAGAAAGAGGGAGGAGGAGTGATGTGTTTCACCCCGGTCCTGTGCAGCATGCGTCTTCCAGGGCGATGATGATCAGAGCGATCGTGCAGGCAGACAAAAGTGCTGGTGTTCGAGCAGCTTTGGTGTGCATGTGGTGCTGTTGTTTGCACGGCTTGATCATCCATGCTCGATATGTTCAGGATTTCTTTGGAACTCCTGCAATAATGTGTGGGCCTCAGAGTGGTGTGCAGTCTCTAGCAGTGCTGATTTGTGCTCTTTTTTTTGGTGTGTGTGTGTGGGGTGTTGTTGCTTAGCAGCTTTTTTTTACTGGAGGCTGGGTGGACCTCCCGATCATGGATGTCGAGGCCGGTGGGGCTTAAGGTCTAGACTTTAGGTGTTTCGGGGTTCAGGGTTTGGAGGTTTCGGGTTTAGGGTTTAGGGTTGAGGGGTTGAGGGTCAAAGGGCAGGTTTGAAGGGTTCAAGGTTTCGGGGTTTAGGGTTTAGGGTTAAGGGCTTAGGGTATTTAGGGGTGTATTGATTTAGGGGTTTGGGGGTTTAGAGGTTTAGAGGTTTAGGGGTTTAGGGTTTCAGGGTTTAGGGTTTAAGGTTTTAAGGGCTTAGGGTTTAATGTAGTTTTGCATCGCAGCTTGCGTAGGAGTTTGTATGGTCGTGTACAGTCATCATGTTGTGTACTATATACCGTTGACTACCATGCTCAAGCCCTCTGAGTAAAAGAGCTGTAGAACTCGCTCATGGCTTAACGGTTTTGGTGTATTCTATAGGTTATCAGCCGTATTCGCTGACTTTGTCTCCGTGGTATTCTTACATTGGTATTCACACTGGTATATGAGCACTTCTCCCTCCCTGATCACCACTGAGAAGGGAGAAACAACCGAAGTGTCATCAGACGATATGGACGATGAAACAAGAGATCGACTACTAGACGAGCAACTCGCAACGGCTGGCATGGGCCCTAGTGTACCGAGCTCAGGATCCCAAGCGCTTGATAGGATCTTCGGTCCAAGAGGTCCTACCCTTACGCCATTTG